TTTTATTTTGTTACCGCTTTAAAATAAAATATTTGGGGTGTAAATTTTCGGTGTTATCGGTATTTACCCGAAACACAAAACCTTGATATATGCCAACTTAACCGCCCTAACGTCAAACCACTGCGGTGGCGTTGCTGTTGACACTGCGCATGCGCAGATGCCTCATATCACGCAAAATCTGGTTTCTACGCGGGCGCAATTCGTAAACCGTGTGTTGGTGTATAAGTTGGTCAAGCCAAAAGTGCCTAAAGACGGGGGTAGGTCGATAAAGTCCTAAAAAGACTCGGCTTCTCAAACCGTTCCTTGAGGCTCCAAAAAGCCGTTTCCGGATATGTCATCCTGGTGCTCGATAGGTGCTACCCTTGTACTCTTCCAACGCAGAATGTATTCGCCCCGCGGCAAACGCTATCGAATCATTTGCATACACTGTCTGAAAAAAGTTAACCTACAGTTTGCAAGGTTGAATTTGGTCGATTTTCGCGATTTCAAGCACACCGCAAAACGAAAAACAGAGTTCACCAAATCTAAGCCTCCCTCAGGAAGTAACTCACAAAGGACGCATAATATATATATATTCATTTATTTATTTAGTGATACTGCCAGCATTCTGTAGAACGCCCAGGCAGGAGGTGTACAAAAACAATATTCAAAAACAAGTGGAAGCAGTGCAAACAAACAGACATAGCCACTACTCCACAAAGTGCGAAAGTAGTGCTCCACTAAAAGTATCTAATGATCTCAAATTTACAACACTTTCAGGAAGCTTATTCCACTCACACGTGGTTCGGTCGCAAGTTATATACTTGGCCTTTGGCTATGACTTCCACATTGGTATTTTTCTCTTTCAAAAGCCTTCCTTATCTCGTTAAATCTCTCCCCATGATCCAAAATCTTCTTGAGCTTTACGCTGGCGCGGGCCGGACCAATACCACCTGAAAGACAAGGCCGATTCCTCTTTCCCCCAAACATCATCATGGCTCACTAGTGGATTTATGCAATGCCGCCTACCGTGCTTCAACATCACCGCCAGTGAGTCTTGCAGCTCTCAGAACGAGCGCTACGCTAGCACGCGTTGACGCCAAGAAGAACGCGTCTACCGCTCCGCGGAGTCACTTGCCGAGCTTCAGCGTCTTTGCCACTAGGGACGGGGATCCACTCACCGTGACGTCACGCGCAGACCTTCTAGGGGGCATTGGACAGAGGCCTTACGCGCTGGACACCAACAAATAACGAAGCAAACCCACGAGCAATTGCACTCGCTTCTGCTTTCCCGTGTATAGACTGTGGATTTAATAGTGAAGACAGGCCCACCCATTTGCGTTTGACTGCGACCGACCAAGCAGCGGCCACTTAAGACTGCTTAGGACAAGACTGGCGTCGACTACACGGTGAACGTGGCTCACTTCCGTTCTGAGTACATTGCCTTGCTTCTTACGCGTCATCATTTCACCCCTGGCTGGAAATCAGGGATGGGCAAAATACATGCAAATATGTATCGAAATACAAATACAAAATACTTCGTCCAAAATGTATTTAATTACAAATCTAATTACATTTCCAAAAAAGCATTTAATTACAAGATACAAATACAACCAAATGTATTTCGTCTCCTCCAAATACTTTTCCAAATGCATTCCTCAAAATTTGCGTCAGCGACTTCAGGGCACGTGCAACGGGTTTCTGAGTATCTCATTTTAATTTTGCATCGCACACTCGGGAGTTAGTGAGCGAGGCTCTAGTAACGTCGTAGAAATATAATCACAAACCAAATGTAATTAGCTTGGACGTAATAAGTGAAAAAAGTACAGAGCTTCAAGCAGCTTTTTTTGTCGATTGCATTTTGGTAGAGACCAACAAAGAACCGAGACGACCAAGACGCGCCGCACTAGCTAGAGAATTTTTTATTGTTGCAACTCGCACCGGTTACGAAAATCTGGACGACCAGAACATTTAGAATGTTCCAGGGAAAAACATGGATGGAATTCAGGCTGGAAAGCATCACAAGTTGTCACCGACAGTTATTTAGCCAGTCTGCCTGTGAACGTCGATTTCGTCACTGTTCTTGCCCTAGACTAGCATCGTAAACACAAAGTCACTAAACGCTCGTGCTTGATTGAGAGACACTGCGTTCAGTGCAGAACATAGGTTTCTTCCTGCTCTGGACAGTGACAATAAATTTAAGGGATGTATTTTCGGCCACAAAAATGTATTTAATTACAATTGTATTTGAAATACTCACGTTTTAGTATTTAAATACACACGTCAAATACATTACCCACTTTTTAATTAAATACAAATGCAAAATACACAAATTATTTAAAATACGTATTTCAAATACTTATATTTGAAATACTGCCCATCCCTGCTGGAAATAATTTTGCTAGTCTAAAAAGAGACCATCTGTCACAAGCACTGCGCACACTTGTTCCTGCACTTACCGCGAGACTAATACAGTCAAGACCGGAAGCGTTCATTGGCTACATGCGCATTGTCGCCAAGGCTACCCGGTGCATGGCGCCAGTGTTCCTCTTGTCTACCAGGGAGACCCTTCCCTTCCCAGCAAACGATGCAACAGTTTATTGATAACAAGTCTAAAAAGCTAAGTTATCATTATCACGAGACACAGGTCAGACAAGAGTGCTTCGTCAGCGCTGAAGTGGGAGTCGTGTCCAATCAACGAGAACCCGAGTCATAGCCGAACGCAGATCAGTCGTGTTCAATGTATGGTGGCCTCCGTTAGAGACGCAAGCTTACTTATCTACGAGGTATTGGCTGAGTACAATGGTTGGCGTTACTTTCAGTACAGCCGGGCTTTAGTCGAAAGCAGTCACAATCGATTGTAGTATTGCGGTCGATCGCAGTCAAACCCCAATTCGTGAACCAGTCTTGCACGTCCCCGGGGTAGACGATGGTCTTTCGTCTTCAGCGGCCCACAAGGCTGCCACGGTGATGATCCTGAGCACGATGAGCACCACCAGCATAGAGGACGTGGCGGCTGCGGCTCCAGAAGGACTGCGCTGGTTCCAGCTGTACATGTTCAAGGATCGAGACGCCAGTAAGGACCTGGTGCAGCGTGCTGAAAAGGCGGGCTACCAGGCGGTCGTGCTCACCGTGGACACTCCTCTGACTGGGAACAGAATATTCGACCGGAACAAACTCACACCGCTGGGCAATCTGGCGTAGGTGGCACCTCTCTGCGTCTTTCTCATTTCAATGATTGAATCAATCAATGAATATACCATATCCGAAATGTAGAGCGCTTTCTAGTAGCGCGCCGAGCACTACGTCCGCCCTCTTGGTAGCGACGAAAAAACGCAACCAGTGACCCGACCGCCAAATACCCAATGTAAACAAGCAACCGCGCTTCGTGCGTGAAATGCGATGCCAACGGGTTACTGCGTTCCGCTGCGGATGCAGCGATAAACCTTCGATTCGTTCGTGACGTGAACGCAAACAGGGCGCACAATTTTTCCTCATTCTTATATTTTCCTTGAGACCCAGCTATTGAAAAAACAATCGGTGACAACGCGAAGAAATATGCTGACGTTTGCAACTAGTGAACTGGGCCCTAATCTTTTTACGAAGTTGTACCGATAATGTTCCTTGACTTTTTTTTTTCTTTTATGCACGTTGTAGTGTCGGTCTGCGTTTTTCTTGATGCGCAAGCAGCTCAATGTATGCGGGCGAGACCAAGGTTGTTAAGCGAGGCAAAAAGATGACACTTAATAGTCTACATCACCAACCACAATTGGGGATGCGTATGGTTAAAAGTGAACAACAAAAGCTGAAAGCACCAAAGAGGCCTCATTTTAATGTCTTATTGAAAGAATTATAATTACTTTGAAAAGTCAGAAAACAATCTAATTACTTTGCAGCGGTATCTATACACTTGATCTAGCGTCGGGAAACGAGGTTTGTAAAACACCCCTAAAACTAAACAGAGGAGTTTGTTCATAAAATAGTCTTGAATATTTAAAGCGCGGTCATGTAAAATAAAAAAAACACAACAGACACGGACGACGTGTCTGTTTGCTCAACACTCAAAAAGACATGATTTTGCTGTCTTTTTTGTCGAACGTTCGATGAGATCGAACGTGGCGGCCACGTTCGATTAGATCGAGCGTGGCGTTCGACTTAGGTTCATCGCAGTGGCTAAAACTTTGATGTCGGCGGCGGCGAAAACTTGCGTTGCGGATGTCAAATGGCGAAACACGGTTGGTGCCAACTTCATTTCACAATTTATTTTTTTTTTTTTTTTGGCGCAGCCGAGGTAAATTTTTGTTTAGTGCAAAGAAGCTTGGAAGGTAGTTTCGAGCGTGAATTCAGTTATTCTACCAGGGTTGTTGAACGAATCTTCGTTGAAGCGCATCATCCGTAAACTGTGGTTGAGGTCAACGCTATCTGAAACCAATTTGAGCTCTTTCCAACGCCTGAAAAATATTGCCCAGGGCACCGTTTCCTTTAACACAACACAGAACTTTACAGACACAAAAACAAAACAAAAAACGTTCGCCACTAGCAACTAAAAAAAGAAAACTAAATTTGAGTGGCATGTATCCGTGTGGAGCAGCCTACCGCTAAACAGCATGACTTCATGCGTATTTACATCGAAAAAAAAAGTTAAAACTGTCCTCAGAGATCACAGCCTAGTCCTTTGTCCAAGTTGGGTGATCGGAAATCAGGAAACAATAAAGTTTCTGAATCGCACTCAGTGGCAGAGCGTCCATGCCCAGCAAATGCTGAGAAACCGAAACTTAAGAAACTTGACGTTACCAAGATGGCCGCGTGCACAGTGTTGCCAGACCACCAAGCAGTTTCGCCTATCCTCTATTCCAATATGAAAATAAAATATTATCCAGCTGAATCATAAACCTAGTTTTAGTTGAATTCCGCTGGATTGCCTCATTTAAAGCTAGGATCAGTTTCATAATTTAGCTGGAAATGGACCGATGTTCACCTAAGAATGCATGTTTTATTGTGCCCCGAACATACACATACATGAGGTTGCATATCATATCATTATACTGTCGCCAGTTTAAATGAAACTCTTACGCGAGCCCCCGAGAAGAGCTCATGATTCCTCCCGACAAACTCCAAACACCTGGTAGTTTGGTGCAATGTTTTTTTTTCGTCAAAAAAAGCTTTCAATGTAAGGACTACAAAAAGAAGTCTTATTCAAACGAGCACAGGTACTTTTTCAACGGCTACACTATGTCACACTTCATTAGCTAACACACCCTAGCGGTGGCCGCTCCTACGTTAACTATAAAGGGCTCTGTGGCTGCAGTTCCGCCCCGCACACGCAGCGCCACTCCCCTCCCTGGCGAGGCGCGCCCATGCTGGTTAGGCGCACGGCGAAGCAGACGACGCGGGAGGCTGGTGTGCTTGTCGTGCTGGCTTCACGCTTCGTTAACTAATGTACCGAAGGCAAAATGGCAGGGCACCAGTTATTGTGGCCTGGTCAAATGCCACAGTATCATATTAAACAGAAAGGTAAATATGTGCCTCTCGGAAAGTTTCATTTCGTTCCCTGGGATGTTATTCATGAAAGACCGCCAGTACCATGAATAGTCAGCTGTGCGAAAGGCAGGGTTAATTATTAATTACCTATCTTGCAGAATGACCCAGTAGTGCAACTACCCGTACTTGTCACGTTAATAGGCACATTCCGTAGAGCACACACACGAGCACGCAATAGTTTTGCGTTGCTTGGGGGAGCTCGTGCCATCACTTTGAGGGCGAACTGAGCTTGCGCCAGCAGGGCCCGCAATCCGCAGCTGACGTTCTACGATAAGTCCTAAATGTTATAGCAACGATGGTTCCCCATGGCTGTCAACAAAAGGAACTGGATTATAAATTACCAGTTTTTTTAACAATTTTAAATTTGAGAACGGAGCTCACTTCTTACCTGGCAATTTTGTTCTCTGATGCTTACAAAATAAAACTAGTAAGCGGCGAAAGACCCGAGTTAAAATGAGGCAAGTAATCAGAGCACATATTGCGTACTGACAGGAACGCATGATTAAAAAGAAATTGACACTGACGGCTGCGCTCTAGTATTTTCTTCATGTTTCTCTATGTTGAGGCAAGCATGCCGAGATTGGCCTGCTGACTTCCCCACAAGCTTTTGCCAATACGAATCCGGGAGTCGCATAAAAAGTCCAGCCGATTCGCATTGATTCCAGTGTAACCATCGTGGAGGGAGTTGCTGGGCTCCTTGACCTGTCAGGGCATGCCTACGAAAACACAAGCCTCTTCGATGCCTCCTTGACCTGGGACGATGTCAAATGGCTCAAGAGTTTCACCAAGCTCCCTGTGATCGTCAAGGGAATTCTAACCGGTGAGGCAATATGTTTTTTTTGTTTTGCGATGGCAGATATCATATTGTCAGTGCAATGAAATTAGGCTCGAGAGAAGTGGCACCATCTTATGCGTAATTTTCGGAACATTGAGACGGCCTGCGGCCGAAATCATTGAGTGCCCTGCCGAACTTTCACATTGAGTGCCCTGCCGACCCTCATATGGTCCTCGCTTGGTAGCAGTCGGGTGGAAGAGAGCTAGTGGACATCGATTCGTTTTTCAGAGCCAGAGACTTCAATTTGAAACGTAAAACTTTTAGTCGAAGGAAAAGACACTGAAAGAAGGACGTTCCAAACTCAGCTCCTTTCCTTGCTTCCACGTATCCTCATACCCCCAGAAATCTAAGGCCGACTACACACTGAACTTCCACAAAGGAACATTCAGTTACAATAAAAGAATAACCAGACATCGAATACACCCTTGTATTTCCGAACATTGGTCACTTAAATGATAAACAAAAATTAACCTTTATTTCTTCTACCCTTGGCCCCCATCTTCAAACTGAACAACTAATCCAACCTTCACAAAGAAGGACCTGTAGTTTTTGAGACTGACCTTCCAAAAGCCCCACCCTCGTCTTCACTCGCTCGTCTTGCGAACAGCGACATCGAGAAGAAACTATTGCTAAGTTCGAATACGGGACTTCGTCCAATCGAAACGTGTGAAGTTGTTGTAAAACACTCGTTCAATGTGGGGTAATAGTAGATTTGGCTCGTCTCAATCTCCCATCAAAAACCTGAATATGTTTAAAAGCTGAAATTTTAAAGGTGAATATAAACAAATGAAACCCTGCTTCAGTTTGTTTTCTTCTCCTGGTGCCCCTCCATAACGGCATTCAAATTTGTATATTCCCATTTGATGGGATAGATAAAAAAAAAGAAAACTTCTCTCCATCTAACTAAATACGGTAATCAGCAAACTACAAAAGTAACATGAAACGACACGTGCCATTTTTTAACTGTAACGGGAACGAGTTCCTTTTTCCATATACGAAAATTGTAACGGGAACGCGTTCCAAAAATCACAAGGAACGATCTTGGTTTCCTTTTTTTGAGAAACTTGTACAACACTGATACAAATACACTCCAAAAGTCAGTAAAAGTCACTGAAAAAATCTACTCTGGCTTGGCATAACAATTAATCTGTTACGAAAGCCAATGGAAGCTGGTCGACCACACCAGGACGACGGGGCATACGTTTGTCCGAGAAAGTTTGTGGAGGCACGGTTTATCCGCCGCAGCTAAAAGGCGTGCAATGCCAATAGGGACTCCCTTCCGCCTAACTGGACCTCCGCGAGGACATTTTAGATTGGCGAATACTGTGTATACTGGTGTATACTAATGATGCCACACGTTAGATGTGGCGAAACGTCTATGTTCTTATCTTTTGTTGTTTTGTCAAGTCAGAGTAAACTTGTTCAATAGTTCCGGCGGATCCCCGGGTATATCTCGTGTAGGGTCCTGGCACTCCGCTATCATTAGTGGAAAATTGTTCGCTCTAATTTTCTCCGCTTATACCTTAAAACACACACACACACACACAAACACACACAAAGAAAAAAAAAAAAACAAGGCTGGAAATGTGGGCAATCTTGGGAATAAAGTCGAAAGTCAGGGCCAGCGTCAGAGATACGAGCCCTCCAAAATACCTGCTTGTTTTAGAGCGCAGCTCTTAGGGGCCCGTTTCCGGCTTGAGCGGCGTCGGCGTCGGCGTCGGCGTAACCGCGAGGTCACGTGACCCCCACAGGTCACGTGATCCCCTTAGGTCACGTGACCCCCCTCAGGTCACGTGTCCCCCCTCAGGTCACTTGACCCCCTCAGATCATGAAACCCCCTGAGGCCACGTGACCCCCTCAGGCCACGTGACCCCACTGAGGCCACGTGACCCCACTGAGGTCAGTTGACCCCCCTGAAATCACGTGACCCCCTTGGGGACACGTGACCCCCGAGTTCACGTGACCCCCCTGAAGTCACGCGACCCCCGAGGTCACGTGACCCCCCTGACGTCACGCGAGCCCCCTTAGGTCACGTGACCTCAAAAAGTCACCTATCCCTCAGTACGCTTCTTTCTTCCTCCTCAAGAGCAGCGCTCTCACCGGCGTTACAGGGAATTGTAAACGGCTTCCATTTTTTTTCTCTCTCTCTCTCCCTACGATTGAAGTGAAGTCCGTAGAGAAAAAAAGGTTACTATAATCGCTGAAAGAATGAGAACAGGAAGGCGTCTTCCGAATGACTGGCTGCTAGCAGGTGCTCCGTGCCTTCCGCCGTGTTCGGGCTGCGCGCACGCGCTCGAGGTGCACGAAATGGCGAAGCATTGTCGAAGTTGGAAGCTCGCGCTGGAGACGGGATAACTCAAGCTCCCCCCATCTGCTTTCACATTGGAGTGACATAGCAGCCAGTGCCTGAAAATATGTGATAGTGTAGGTCCTGTTTCCAACAATTAACTTATTTTTTTTATGACCATGCATGAGTAATGCGCATTATAAAGCAGTCACCGTAGAACTAGTAACTTCGGTACGTCTTTGAGACGTTCTTCAAGATAATGTACTGTACATTATAAAGGCCGTTAAATATGCACACGAGGGTCTGTGGAATCTTCAAGAAAAGATGAATTATTCAAATGAATGGCTAAAAGCCAAATTACTAACAGACGCCTAAAAAACAGATTATGATAATTCTTGACGCGTTGGAACACAATTTTCAAACGTGCCGATGCTTCGTTTCAACATTAATCGAGCCATGATCAAAAATAAGAAAACAAATGCAGATATTTAGTAACGGGATATCAATATTATGATTATGTTGTCGGGAAAACGAATAGAGCATCAGTTAGCTATAGTAGGCAATAAAACAAAAACGAAGTCGGTTTCGAGGACAATATTTCGCAGTGTGCAGAAGGTCAATGTAAGCATTCTGATCTATGCTCAATATTTACGCAATCTGAAACAGCCGAAGATGCCAAGGAGGCTGTCAGCAACGGTGTCGCCGCCATCTTTGTGTCCAATCATGGCGGTCGGCAACTGGACACTGTGACATCCACGGTATGTTCCTCCAAAGCCTTTCTGAAAGCGTCGTGGCACAAAGCAATTTCTTAGTCATCTACTCTTCCGCGTCAGTCAAAGTAATCGTTGACTGTATGAAGGAACAACATGCATCGGTTTCCTAACATATAAGCTAAAATTCCGTCCAACGGAGCATGCTTGAGTGGAGAGTTATAGGTTACGAGCATTACTTCTCTACTTACAGTGGCCGTCTTCTAATGTAAGTCGTTCTTCACATACTGATTTCCAGCTAAATTTAACAGGAAATCACAATGCCAGGTTGCAGTGTGATATAATATCGTGAAGTAACAAACACAATATCATGTGTCACCTTCCCGATCGCTCGCTTGTCTGAAATTCGAACAAAGACCGGTTTGTGTACAAATTCGGCAGTGACTTATATCTTCAGATTGAAATCATGCATGAAAATCAGCATTTAACTGGAAGTCCCTTAGGTCTGTTTAGAAGACACTGAACACTAGGTTCGTTGAGTGAAAAACCTGTATTTGATCAATTTAGCAGAAAGGAAACTGATTTGGTGCACACGTCACGTGACATCAATTTATAGTATTAATTTATCGTAGAAATGGACTTTGTGCACATGTCCGTGACATCACTCCATGTGCCGTAAATTTTCTCACTAAAATTTGAAGGCGCATTGGTCACGTGATATCAACTTCCCGCCGAATTTAGCGGAGAAACTGGATTCGTGTATATGTTATGTGACGTCTGGTCACGTGGCGTCAATTTTCACGCTAAGTTTATCAAAGGAACTGAATTGGTGTACTAGAGGTCACGTGACAATAATTTCCTCCGCTAAATTTAGTGGGGAAACTAAATTAATGTATCGGTCAGGTGACGCCAAGTCACGTGACATCAATTTCACCGCCAGGCGGAGTCAGGAAATTGAATTGGCGTTCATGTCACGTGACGAGAATTTCTTCGCTAAATTTAGCGAGAAATGCACGGACGAACGAAAAAAACAACAACAAAAAACTTTGTGATTCAGGGGAGTGTGTGGGTTGGGATGGGGGGGGGGGGGGCTGTTAAAAGAATTGAATGCTTCAAAAACAGTGTAGCAGTGAATGCACTTTTGTGTGCTCAACTACCAAAACTGGTACTGTGAAGAACGACGCAAAATGGCGCGACCGAGTTGGAAAAGGCTGCCTCCGCACATAAAAAAGCTTGGGACAAAAATTTATAAACTTGGCATCCGGCAAGATTTTTGAGCCGGAAATATGTCATTTGAAGCCGCCATATAGTCTAGGCGTCTAGCAACCTTCTTTTTTAAGGATTTCAAAACTCTTCCGAGGTCTGATAACTCGGGTCCGTGGGTGTGCAGATTGAGCCCCTGCCGGAGATCATCAGAGCAGTTGAAGGCCAGGTTGAAGTTTACCTGGACGGAGGCATTCGTCACGGGACCGACGCCATCAAGGCCCTCGCCCTTGGAGCCAAAGCCGTCTTCGTGGGACGCCCGGTACTCTGGGGACTGGCGTATAATGTAAGATGCTCCTCTGAAGACACACAGCGAAAGATTCATAAATATTCAACGTTACTTCATCAACTCAGCTGTAGAACTTCCCATACTTTTACCCAAGTCCTATTTAAAGCGACAGACAAAAACAACCGACACCGACAAGCCTCAAGTACGTGCAGCATGTGTGCGAAGGTATTTTGGTAGCCTTCCACGTGCTTACTCGGGAGGCTCCAGTTCGTTCGACCAAAGGTACTTTCGCGTGAACGCCGCACGAGTTTGAGGCTTTTGTCGGTATCGGTTTTTTTCTATTCGTCACTCTAGTGAATCTCCCTCAACACTTAAGCCCCTTGAGGTGTCCGAGTTCGTCTTACAAGTAGCATCAAGCAGGTCCGTGCCTCTTGCAGCTCCTGGGAGCAAATGGCGGCGAGGTACTGAGCTGAACTGTTCATGGAAGTAAATGGCGGTGAAGCATTCGCTCGCGACACGTGTCTTGCGCGTTTCCAGATCAATGGTTCGAGGTACCTGTAGAAAACGCCAAGCGTGATTTTTATCAAGAGACTTTAGGGCATACAAGCACCGCCAACCATTGTTGCAGGAACATACAGACACGCACCACGAGCGAGTGCTCCGCCTCCGTTCGCATCCAAGGGCCGCTCATTGCAGTGCCGCGTTGCTATTCGCTACCAACGGCAGAACGGGGAGTCGACGCGTTTGACGCTAATTGTGAAGCGAACTCATCAAGGGGCTTTAGCGTCCTGTCATTTCAAGCGCCAAGGTGGTGGAAATGCTGTTTCAATTTTTCTCAAAAGAATCCACACCTTCCAAAGCACAGCCACCAAATGGTGCTTCAAACGTTGGGAGGCAACCTCAGAAGGCAGATGGGGCGTCACCCTTATGGGGGAGTCTCGCAGCCACGATTTAACAATGTCAGCTGTACTTGTAGAAGTGATAGAAGCGGCATTTGACCGTTAGCAGCAGGTTCTGTAGGAGGCAAAGTACTGGTCTGGAGCAGATGCCAACATCTGTTGCAGCATTACCCAAGATTGAGACCTAAAGCTATATACTTTTTATCCACTGCACTCTCAGAAAAAAAGGGTGTATGTGGGTGTATCGCGCACCCTTACACCCCCCTTCGACTGGAGACACCCGGCGAGCGTAATCGCACTCCCATCACGCGAATCCTCCTCTCCCAAAGGAATCGGCGGGCGAGGCGAGGGTGTTGCCAGGTGCACCATTACACCCCTCCCCTCCCCTTTCCTTTTTCAAAAAGGGGAGAGGGAGTGCTATCAGGAGAGCGCAAGAAAACAAACAAAATGCGCGCGGTAATAGAGTAGAGCGCGCGTCTTGATTAGCAGTCACTGGTTACACGTCATCCGACTGACAACCTATCACGATAGCGATCGCGTTTCGCGCGTTATCTGGCCTTCGTGTTGCTAGGAGACTTGACCTCCTCACCTCCTGCATTCCATCTCGGCGTGCTTCGGCGGCCATACTTTTGCTTCGGCTGGCGGGTGACATCGCCTTTGTTCATTCGCGCTATTTTGAATTGCGTGTTTTTTTTAGAAGGTGGTTGGACAAAGCGGATCGTGTTCACGAAGCGATGCTTGGCACGTAGCTGCACTGCAGTCACAAACCAAGATGTGCCCGCCCGATAAAGGTAGGTCTGCCGTTTACATGCACTCGTTGGATGCTGCGTTTTGCGAGGCATGGGGCCTGCTAGCTGGGGACGTGCTTTCCTTTTTCTCCTGTTTATGTCAGAGTTTCTTCGCTTTTGTATTTGTGGCATGCGTGCGCGGTGGCGATGCCCGGTTCTCTGAGTGTACAAACGAGCACGACATCGCAGCTTCGAGACATTATTCTTGCGTGTAGAGCTGGCGTCATTGAGAGCAACGGGTCTCTATCGTTTCGCCAAAAAACACTTTTTGTGGACAGATGTTTTATGGACACTCGCTCGTCGACACTACCGCTCCATCGGCAGTCGTTACGCGGATTTAGCGTTGTAGGGACATTTCGTCGCGGGTGTATCCTACACGTACTATCCGCTTCGTGGCAACAGTGTGAGGCAGCTCCTTACAGAAAAAAGGTAGTTTGTGCTGTCGATGAAGCATTCTGGCGATGAATCATCGGGTATCTATAAAACGATCTGTCGGTGAAACGTTCGATTGCAGAGCAACATGCTCGCGCTTGTTACCGGCTTCGCTCGCACGTATGGTTATGCAATGCGATTTTCAGTGGGGATGATGGAACTAAGGTGGCGCTTCAAGACAAGGCAGTTAGAGTTCTTTTATAGGTTCCCTACGGGAGTCAGAGTTGCGCGTTCATCTTCGTAGCGCCGTCTTTTCTGCACGGCATGTTGATCCAGCTCCTCACGCGACTTTTGGACCTCTTGGCGAATATGTGCTGCCACCTCGACACGAGGCTAAGTGCCGAGAAAACAACGCGCGCGCAAGGCCTCTCCCACCCGTTCCACACCCAAAACGTCAGCTACATCCTGTTCAACCCTTGAGGCGCTGTGACCTAGATACTGCTTCCCCAAACTCGCCTTTGTCCCCATCGTGCGTAATCTTCCGCCCCCGAGGTCGACACAACGAAACCATATTCCCTCCCTGCTCGGCCACTTCGAAGAGGGAGAGGGTACTGGAACCATTGACTCTCGAACCGACCAGGCGCGCGGCGCGCTCAAAAGCACGGGTGCGTACGGCGGGGCGCGTGCAACGTTACTTTCTTGCACGGTACGTGGTCGGATCTCGTCAAATAGCGGCGCGGCGGCACGTAGAAAATAGACGCGCAACTCTGGCTCCCGCAGGGAGCTACAGGAACTGGTACTCCAGTGCAGCATTGAGATTATAAGCTCCAGCCAGAGTTGCGCGTCTGGTTTCCACGTGCCGCCGCGCCGCTATTTGCCGATATCCGATCACGTGAGGAGCAGACTCCAAATGCCGTGCAAGGAAGCCACCGGTACGGCGGCTTGGCCGACGGTGCACGCGCCTCGGTGTGCATACCCCCCCCCCCCCCCCCCTTTTGCCTCCTCCTGTCCTGTGTTGTCCCTGCCACCCCCTAAAACAGCCGCCACAGGGCAGGTTAAAGACTGGCCGGCGGCGCCCAAGGGATACTGAGAGCACTCCCCCCCCCCCCCCCCCCCCCCCCCCTTCCTGACTCGAAAACAAGTTGGAGCGCCACTGACCGTACATATTCCCCACGAACTACACCCTCTACAATACAGATACAACTACACATTGTATCTGTATTCCTGAATACTTTTTCACCAGTTTCGCGGAAGTGTCTCGGGGATATAGCATTGCATAAAAGACAATGTATCTCAGTATCTGCATTTTTGGCCTTAAAGCAGATGTATCTCAGTATTCCCGAATACTTTTTGGAGTGTGTCTGCCCGGCCCTGGTTTATGTCACATTAATTTATTCTATCATTCTTATTATTTTCCAGGTACTTCGGGCAAATCAACCCATCTGAAGTGCGATACAAAAGTGCAACCAGTGGCATTGCACCGAAGTTGCGAACTCTTCAAGTGCTTTGACATCTGTGAGTGTACCGTCCTTCAATTATACTCCGTGTCACTAGTTGTGTGTAGTGCAGGTGAATGCAACGGCCATGTGAAGAGAGAAAAGACGAGCACTAGGAAGGCATATGGGAGGGGAGGGCAGGGCTGGGGGAGAGGGGAAAAGCACTACGAATGTCAGATAGGAGAGGGGGTTACTCTCCTCACCCGCCTTTCTAGCGCTTGCCCTTTCCCCTCTTCGGGCATTGCCTTAGCCTGTGCGGCGCGCAAGTAGTGAATGAAGGTGAATATCGTCACCTTCATTCGTGACAATATTCACCATTGTACAGATTATGATGCACTGGCAGGTAATAGATAACTAGGTAAACTTAATCTGCTCAGTGCTTGAAGACGCAGCTCGCGACTTGCTTGAACACGGCCCACAGGAAACCAGCTGCAACCTCCCGTTCTCATAACGAGCAGTACAAATGGCATGCATTATAATATGTCGCTAATAGACCGATCTCACCAGCTAGTTTGAGTACGCCACCGCTGCCGATGTGCATCGTGACGCTGTAGTCTTTCTGCACGCGCAACAACCATGCTAGAGGTTTGCGCGAGCAGACCACGAGGCAGCATGAGCTGTCGCGTGAACTGTTTTAGACTGTTTTAGCACTGTTTTAGATGACCACGAGGCAGCATGAGCTGTCGCGTGAACTGGAGTCTGCCTCTTACGAACTACAGTTATGGCGGCGTCACGCATGCGTGGAAAACTTGGTGGGATCGGTCTATTCATTTACGCTGGAAACGTAGCTATGCTCTTATAACATATCCACATAGTTGATGTAGTTTCGTTTTTATTTTTCAGGTGTTTAGTCTCTATTTTTCCTTCCCGTCTTTTTTTTTTAGTATTTAGCACCTGCACGACAATTCCGCTGGTAGGCTGCAACCACGTGCTCTTTGCCCAAGGATGCACTTCAACTGCATGAACTCTCGCTTGTCAGAAGCAACCACCAAAGATAAATTCATGAGCTCTAGATTCTCGCCCTCAGAAAATATCACCATTAAAATACAAGTATTCGCTCAGGCTGGTGCTATCAGAAATTCTCAGAAAAGCAAAAGGCATTCTTTCGAGACATGTTGAGCTTGAATATATCCTGAGTGAAATAAGCAACGGCAACAACAGTGTACTTGTTCTCTTGTCCTCTTACAAAATGTCAGTATGTTGGCGGCAGTACCACTTTAATTCTTGTGATTGCATCAGGAAAGGGATAAGGGGAGCACTACAAATAAATCACGGCTAAAAATGTCACTGTCAAGATTGCAAATTACAGAATGTGGAGAGCGCAAGGTCCCTTTAACAAATTTCTTGACCCCCATGCCTTACATAAGCCCTCGATCTTGTGGGGGTTGGCTATCTGGCCTCTACACTCAAATGTGTTTGAGAGCACTGTTCTAGATGGTCCAAAATTTTGTTAAAGGAAGCTTGCATTAGGACACCTCTGATGTTGAAATTCGTTTATCTGG